CCTGTGCCCTGCCTACATTTTTACTGTTCTTTCTGCCTGGAAACTGAGACACGTCCATGGCGTCCAAAAAGCGTCCCTTTAGGTCAAAAGCGGTTTTAGACCAGCTAGAGAACAGCGATAGTAAATCAGAATTGAGTGATAATGATTCGTGGGGAAATTCATCATCAGACACTGAAAACGATTTTGCGACTTTGCTCAGTGATGTGCGAACTTGGCGCTATATTTCAAATTTCAGTGTTTTTGGTTTGATTATATTATTGAATTAAATTTATTATTATTTTTATGATTATTTATTAAATTATAATTTATGATTTTGTGTTTCAAATTTTAACATACCTGGGATGTTTACTAGACTCTTGTTCGGACAGATTTCAGTGAGTTATTCCTAAAAATTACAGGCCTACAATAAAAAAAATACATATTTCCATGCAAAAAAATTGTACCGCTTTCAGCACCAAAAATCTGAAATAATCATACCGCCAGGGAGGTTAAATGGTAAATTTTCTCAGATTAAACCTTTGATATGTTTTTTATTTTCTATTGTAAGTAAAATATGGCTCGCTATCCAAGTTCCTTCTAGTGAACTTACCCAAACGTAGCCCCTATCTCATGATATACTGTATATTCATACATTTGTACAATTTTACTGTATAACATGTTTGAGTAATTCTGCTATTGTGAACGTTTACAAAGACATCAAGCAGGGTATACAGTATTTACAGTGCCAATGTTCTTTAGTGTTTTTTTATATCCACTTTTCTTTATTGTATTCTAGCTAACATAAAGAATATGTAATAAAATCAATTGATATATCGACAGATATCAATGGTTCTATAGCTGGCCATGCATGGAATTACATTTTGCTGGTTCCTGATTTGAGCTGTAGGTGGCCCTGTCGGCATCCTTCTGCCTGACATCCTTTGATTTGAAAATCAAAGGAGCCTGGCAGAAAATTGTAGTCCAAACAGCATCTATATCCAATCAGGTGCAGCCACTGGCAAGGTATTATTCTGACAGTTGGTGGGATTTCTCCATCCACTCTGTGTATTGTGGATGGAAGGAATTTCTCACATTCAGCCACGTACAATGTATAGGTAACTTTTTTTTTGCATTTGTAAATATTCACTTATCCAATTGTGCATAAAGAAAATTCTTATTTACTTTGAATACCCAATCATGTGCAAATGTTTTCACTTGATTGGATAATTGAAGTGGATAAAGTGAAGACTCGCATAGTTGGGTAGAGATTCTCCAATTTTTTAGTAATTTAGCCCTGTAGAGCTTGTCATTTCTGACTTTGCAAATGCTAGTTCCCCAGTATCATTCTGATCCTTTTGTAGTACTTTGAGTCGTTAACGCAGAAGACATATACACATACGGATTTTGTCATTACTTTCCTGAAATGTATACCTGTTCCAGGCTTGAGACTTCGCATAAATTAATTACAGAAGGTCATCATTACAGCCAAACAGCTAGCATTTTCTGAAGGAGCTGAGCATTGAAAAGATCCATATTTCTTACATTTCTGTTTGCAAACTCTTTGGCATGCCCTCCCCCCATGTGCATGTACAGTGGGGAAAATAATTATTTGATCCCCTGCACATTTTTTAAGATTGCCCGCTTACAAAAAAATTAAGAGTCTATATATTTATCATAGCTACATTTTAAATTATAGAGACAGAATATCAACCAAGAATCCAGAAAAAACACATGATACAAATGTTATAAATTGAGTTGCAGTTCAGTGAGTAAAATCAGTATTTGATCCCCAAGTAAAACAGGACTTGATGCTTGGTGGAGAAACCCTTGTTGGCAAGCACAGAGGTAAGACGTTTCTTGTAGTTGGTTATCAGGTTTGCACACATCTCAGGAGGGATTTTGGTTCTTCTTTACAGATCTTCTCTAAATCCTTAAGGTTTCTTGGCTGTTACTTGGCAACTCGAAGTTTCAGCTCCCTCCATAAATGTTCTATAGGATTAAGGTCTGGAGACTTGCTAGGCCACTGCATGAACTTAATGTATTTCTTCTTGAGCAACTCCTTTGTTGCCTTGGCAGTATGCTTTGGGTCCTTGTCATGCTGGAAGACCAATCCACAACCCATCTTCAGTGTTCTGGCTAAGGGAAGAAGGTTCTCATTTAAGATTTTACAATACATGGCCCTGTTCATTGGCCCCTCAATGTGGCAAAGTCAGCCTGTACCTTTAGCAGAGGAACAGCCCCAAAGCAAAATATTTGCACTTTCACCTTCAGCATTTTTCTTCCTCCAAATACGGCAAGTCAAGTTAATGCCAAAGAGCTCAATTTTGGTCTCATCTGACCACAGAACTTTCTCCCAGTCCTTCTCTGAATCATTTAGATCATTGGCAAACTTCAGACAGGCCTGCACATGTGTCTTCTTGAGGAGGGGGACCTTGCGGGCGTTGCAGAATTTCAATTCATGGCGGCATATTGTGTTACCAATGGTTTGTTTGGTGACTGTGGTCCCAGCTACCTTGAAATCATTCACAAGCTCCTCCTGTGTTGTTCTGGGCTGATCCCTCACTTTTCTTACGATCATCCTTACCCCATGAGGCAAAACCTTTCATGGAGCTCCAGACTGAGGGAGATTGATGGTTAAATTTCTTCCATTTTTGAATGATCTCTCCAACAGGTCTCTCCTTCTCACCAAGCTTCATGCTGATGGCCTTGTAGCCCATTTCAGCTTTGTGCAGGTCTACAATCTTGTCCCTGATGTCTTTTGACAGCTCTTTGGTCTTGCCCATGATGGTGAGGAAGAATAAGATTCTGTGGACAGGTGTCTTTTATACACATAACGAGTTGTCATTAGGAGCGCCTTCATAAATTGACAGAACTAATCTGTGTACCACACAAACACATAGCCAGTCTGTGGGAGCCAGAATTATTGTTGGTTGGTAGGGTATCAAATACTTATTTTACTCACTGAACTGCAATTCAATTTATGACATTTGTATCATGTGTTTTTATGGATTTTTGGTTGATATACTTTATCATTTAAAATACACCTATGATAAAAATGATAGACCCCTGATTTCTTTGTAAGTGGGCAAACTTACAAAATCTGCAGGGGATCAAATTACCGTATGGGAGCTACGTCATCCTGAGTCAGCAAGTCGAGGTGGTCAAAGATGCTGAACCCAGAAAACATCTGGGCGAAGATGATGGGAATAGGGACAGGGTTTCTGTAAAGGGATAAAACCTGGGCAAATATACATGAGTTGTAGATATGTAGTGCATCTGTGTACTTTTATTTTGCCTTGTCATACATTTTAGAGGATAAATTCACTTTTGTACATGTTATTCAGGGTGTAACATGTTACAATTGCATCGGCCCAACCCCCTCCCCCACTGATCGTGGGTGCAATGCTTTACAAGCTAAAAGCAAAAAAAAAAAAAAATGCACATTTTTTACTTGCAAAAAGATGTGCATTTTTTTTTTTTTTAAAAGTGCACTTATCCTTTAACAAAAGAGTTAATGGCTGAAAGTGGCAGATTTAGGCTCAGACTTGTGAGGTTGAACAAGAGAAATAAATCGATTTCCTCCATCCACACTAACAGGTGATGGCTATTGTATTTAGGCAACTAGGACACTCACAGCCACAGGACACCCAAAGTAAAGTGCTTGGTGATTGGAGAGGAGGGGTGGGTACAGCGGTTGCATGTGACTGCAGCCTCAGGAGCTGAGACCTGAGTGTTAAGTTTTGGAGCATCGGAAGCATAGCAATAGTTAGTCTTCATGCACACTGGACGTTTTTACAGCGGCTGTTTTTGGCTGTTGCTGTTTTTTTCTATAGCCAATAAACTCCCCAACATGTTATCCTATGTGTCCATGCACACATAGACTGTAATCAGTGTTTTTTGGCTAAAAATAAAAACCCAGAACTAGTGGGTTGCTAGAGTTTTTTAAGTTGTAATAACGCTGAAAAACATGGTAAATCACGGCAAACCAGCGTTTTTGGACATTTTTTTTTTAGCAAAAAAAAGTTTTCTTTTTCGTAAAAAAAAAAATGCAAACATGAAAAATGCAGCAAAACGACTCTAAGTGCTAATGCAAAACTCATGTTTTTAACCTGACTTTACACAGCTAATGTTACCAGCATTATTAAAACGTCCAGTGTGCATGGAGCCTTATACTCCAGGCACGCTGAAAAAATGTGAACTGTACTTTAAAGTGATAAGTCCATAAGGTGGAATGCACCTCATTGGATTTATCCCCTACTAGTTCAGCACTTTTTACAAAGTAGCTAAATTCCTGCAGTGCAATTTAAGGGGTCATGTACACTGCAGCTGATAAACTCACGTTTAGGAGCTGTTCAGCGTTTTTTTCAGCAGCCCCTGAACTCTCCCTAATGTTTTCCTATGTGTCCATGTACACATCTTCGTTTACAGGAATTTGAGTTTACAGTTGTTTTTTTGAAAGCAGAAAACGTGCAGCAGTCGATTTTATCAGTGTTTGAAACGCAAAACGCTTGTAAATGCAGCAAATCACGTTTATAAGCGTTTGCATTCGAAATTTTTTTTTAACTCTTCCAGTTCCCAATGCTGTCCAGAGCCTTTTTTCATCATGAAAAACTCATACAAAGCGTTTTCAAGATACTCAGATGTACAAAACACTGAACACAGGATGTTCCTATCAAGCTTGTCACACAGTGTAATGACCAATTCACACCTCAGCCCTCTCCCACCCTTGGAAACAATATATGTTAATGACCATTCACACTTCAAATTCCTCATGAAGACCCCCTGCCAGGTGGCCTTAATGACTCACTCCACCAGACACTGTCCCACCCTTGGAAACAAAAAAAATGTTAATGAGCAACTCACACCTCAGTTAACCTCTACTAACACCTACTACTGTCTGCTTCTACTTTTTGTATTTCTCTGAAACAGTCTGAAATAGTTAATAATTTACTTTTCAGTGCATTCTGGGCATTTGGGAGGTTCTCCAGTGTTTATCTTTAACCATTTCAATACCGTGCAATTTTACACCTTCCTGCCCAGGCCATTTTTCACGTTTCAGCGCTGTCACACTTTGAATGACAATTGCGCGGTCATACAACACTGTACCCAAACTAAAATTTTATCATTTTCTTCACACAACTAGAGCTTTCTTTTGGTGGTATTTAATCACCGCTGGGGTTTTTATTTTTTGCTAAATTAACAAAAAAAGACCAAAAATTTTGAAAAAAAAAACTAAATTTTTCTTTGTTTCTGTTATAAAAGTTTACAAATAAATAATTGTTCTTCATAAATTTAGGCCGAGATGTATTCTACTACATGTCTTTGGTGAAAATAACCCAAATTAGGATGTATTATTTAGTTTGTAGGAAAGTTATAGAGTTCACAAACTATGGTATAGATCTGAATATTGATCAATCCTGAAGTACTGACAGCCAATCTAATTTCTTGAGGTCCAAGAATGTCAGAATAGTACAGATATCCCCAAATTACCCCTTTTTGCAGAGTAGACAGTCCGATGTACTTCATAAGAGGCATGGCGAGTTTTTTGAAGTTGTATTTTTTTTGTCATCATTTTTTGGAAAATGAAAAAATTAAAAAAATTATTTTCACAATTTTTTTTTTATATACTGTCACCAGTGCAGTACAGCGTCATCATATAACTGGCATGGCGGTGAACAGGGACACTGACTGGTGACAGTATGAAAAAAAAAAAATATTTTTTTTAATTTTTTTTTATTTTTTTATTATTTTTAATTTTTTTATTACATTTTTTTTTATTTTTTTTCATATTTTACTATGACCAAAGTAGTACAATGTTACCATAGTAAAATTGTACTACTTTGGGGAAGTGATCAGTATTTTTTTTTTTTTTACACAATTTGCTTATAGCAAAGAATTACTTTGCTATAAGCAAGCATTTACCTGAATGAAATCGATTCATTCAGCTTTTTTTTTTTTTTTTTTGTGCTTAGCTGTGATTTGGTCACAGCTAATCACATGACATGTGCATGTGATTAGCTGTGACCATTCACAGCTAGGCACTAGTATACAATGGACGGCATCATGAATGAAGCCATCCATTGTATACAACTGTCATGTGACCTGCTGTGATTGGTCACAGCAGGTTACATGGTACCAGCAACGGGAGCCGGTACTCGGATCTGTCATCGGCCGTGTCCGAGGTACACGGCCGGTGACAGATCGCGCTGCTGTGCCGCTCTGCATTAGCGCAAACTGCGCATGTGCGGGAGCACGCCAAATGGCGTGCACCCGGAATGCAGCAACACTTTTGAAGCCGCCAAACGGCCATTGGCCGGGCGGCTAATGGTTAAAAAAACGCTTCTAAACATAAACGCTCATAAACGTGTTATGCAAATGTGGCTAAACAGACGTTTTTTACCTACGTTTTCCAGTTGTCAGTTTCCATCGTTCAGAAGTGTCCCGTGTACATGGGGCCTAAAAATGTGAGCATTGCATCAAAAATGACTTTAGTATAAGCACCGCAGTATTGACTGCAGTTGAGGAAACACTGTATTAAGACTGTTTAAGACCAGTGAGTGTGAGGTGTCCCGTTTATTTTATCCCTTTATCCTTTCTGTATTTACTAGTGAGGAGTTTACTTGTATGCTGTGACTCAGAGGCCAGCCACCTGAATAACTGATGTACTGTGTCACTGTTAGCGGTTGCTAGGTGTTCAGTTTACTGTCACTAGGGGAACGCAGTGCCTCACAAAAGTTTCTGACACCCAAAGCTAAAAGTTGCCAATCCAATATAAAAGGGAAAGTTTTATTTGAAAATGTTATAGATATAGGACTTGGAAAAAAAAATGTCTACAAGGTATGACTTTTAAAAAATCTTATTTTTTTTATCTGACTGTTGTAAGAAAACTGAATTGTGTGGAAGACTGCTTTTGATTTTATGCCTTTTTTATAGGTGAAGAAGTGTTTTATGGAATGAAGCAGATATTTATTTGAATTCCCTTTTTTTAACAGGAAATCTGAAGGTTGTGGTGCAAATGAGTAGAGAACTTCCTGTTATTTGGCAGGTAAATACAAAGTCAATTTACATGTTTATAAATCTTGTATAATCCCAATGGATCTATTATTTCCCTGGCTGGGGATTTCCTTACCTGTTGCATCTGCACTGTCATTGTAAGCTTGTTTTGGTGTCTCTCTGTAGACGTCTGTGCCAGGAAAATATTGCCAATATAACGTGTTATTTTTGTGATGGTGTATAGACATGAGTGTGTTCTTGTACTGTATATGTATGTATTTTTGCACGTTTATTTTCTCAAGAGTGCACAAAAAATAAGAAAAAAATACCTATATTCTCTAGAGTGACACATTTGCGATACACAAAAGGTGCCCATTTTATTTTGAAAAAGAATGTGTCAATTACAGTTGAATGAATGGTATTTTAGGGCATACAAGTACCGTCTACTTACATGCTGCTTGTGTTTGAGAAAATGCCTCAATAGGACAAATAGACACTGAGATCAACAAATTCTATGGCACTAAGGTGCTTTTAGGCTGTAGCTTACTTTTCATTCAATGCATCTTTGCTCAGTGATTATTTGTATTGAACTAATCTGCTTCATATAGATTTTATATAATGGGCATTGAAGTTTAATCCCTAAATGTATGTAGGGTTGCCACCTCATCCATTTAAAAAACTGAACACCTTTTAATTACACAGGTTCTTTGGCTGATTAGGTGGTAGTTAAACTCACTAAGTGTCTTATCTGCATTAAATTAGCATCAGAACCTGTGAGAGTATATCCAAAGTTAAATGTTTTTCTATTTTGGATTGAGCCAGCAATGGTTAAAACACTGGTCAGGTTTTTTTCTCTATCCTGTTCAAAAGATTTCCATTTTCTTCCTGTCCTGTAGACAAAACAGGAAATGAGAGCAACTCTTTCCAAACTACAGGCAAATCCCGTCTTACTTGGTTGCATTAGAAGATTTCCTTGCTGTTCCTGTTCTGGTGGCAATACCAGAACCAGGACAAATAGAGATGAATAGAGCTCGGACATGGCAATAAAACCTGAGAGGATCTCTATTCCTTACATCTATCTATCCATTCAGTCGTATCCGACCCTTGACGATTGCATGGACCGTCACTCGTAAGCGACTTTTTCCATGAATTCTCTTAGCAATTATTTTACAGGGTAGGTTGCCAGGTCTTTCCCCAACCCCTACCATGCAGGAGATCCCGCATGACCAGTGATGAAACTTGGACAATTTAGACAGGAGCCAATTAACCTACCAGCATGTCTTTGGAGTGTGGGAGGAAACCGGAGTATCCGGAGAAAACCCACGCAAGGGAGAACATGCAAACTCCATGCAGGAGACGCCATGGTTGGGAATTGAACCCATGACCCATTTACGTGCTAACCACTAAGCCACTGTGCCACCACAATTCCATACATACACTATACAAAAGTAAAAAAACAAGTTTTGCCTTCAGATACATTTTAACTGCTCCCTACTTAACCACTTAAGGACTGCCCACAGTACATTTACTGCTAAAAGGCGGCTCCTGTGTGCAGGATCACGTGTATATATATACGTGAATCTGCATTTCCGGGTAGGGGGCGTGCACCCTACCCGTGCCACCGATCGTGTCCCTGGGTGTTAATCACCGGATCCCGGTCTGTGATTACCCGCCGGCAGCCGGTGATTACCGGTTATCGCCGACAGGGAGGAAGGCTGCATTGTTTACGAACAGCCCAACTCCCTGTCAGTTTGAGCACACTGCTCAGGATGGCTGAGCACAGCCATCCCTATCAGTGTGTTTACAGTGAAGCACCCCCCGCCCCCTATTAAAACACTCTCATCACACAGTTAACCCTTTGATTGCCCCTCATGTTAACCCATTCCTGCCCAGTGCCATTAGTACAGTGTCAGTGCTTTTTTTTTAGCACTGATCACTGTATTGGTGTCAATAAGGATGTCAGTGACCCCAAGTCAGTTCTCCCCAGTGTCAGAATGCCCACCGCAGTCCCGCTATAAGTCGTTGATCGCCATTCCAGCATCCATACCGCCATTTGTAAACGCTATAACATTCACGTAAACCAATTAATTTACACGTATTGGGATTTTTTTTTTTCACAAAGACATGTAGAAGAATACATTTTGGCCTAAATTATGATAAAAATTTTTTACTGGACATGTTTAATAGCAAAAAGTCCAAAATATAGTTTTTTTCTCAAAATTGTCGGTCTTTTTCTTTTATATCGCAAAAAATTAAAACCACACAGGCAAACAAATACCACTGAAAGAAAGCTCAATTGGTGGGGAAAAAAAGGACATAAATTTCATTTGAGTGCAGCGTTGCATGACCGTGCAATTGTCAGTTAAAATAACGCAGCGCCGTAACACAAACCACTTCTTTAACTTCTTCCTGACCGCCCTATAGCAGAAATACTGCTACAGGGTCGGCACGGGTGTGCAAAATCACGTATATATACGTGATTCGCTCTCCCGTGGCTTTCACGCACCTCCCAGATAGCGTCAGATTGCCCATCAGTACACCAGTAATCACATTTAACCTCTTGGTTGCCAGGAACACGCTCATACACAATAAACCTCCATTGCTAGTATAGTGTCTGAACAGATCAATATCTTTGATCAGATCAGCACTATACCAGCGTTCACATTCGTACAGTGTCCCCAAAAACACAGCATTAGTGGGATCAGCCCCGACATCTGCGTTTAGCCCCTACGCTTACCCCCCCCTTCTTCCCCAGCAAGTGCAGTGTCAGTAGGTCACTGTCACTTGATACATTGCACACAAAACCGCAGTGTTCGCAGAATCAGGCCTGATCTCTGCTAGCACTTGCCAGTTAATTCTGATGAGTCTCATATGCAGCAGAGTGCCAGTACTAGTGCCGCTCTAACTTTTGGTGAACTGGCGAGCACCAGCGGCCTAGTACATCCTGGTCTTTCACATACCAACACTGCAGTATCACTTGGTGATGTGGCGAGTCCCATAATTGCAGTACAAGCTGGTGGCGAGCACAAATATTGTCCCGCAACCACCAAGAATTCGCACACAGTCCTGTAGAGCCCCTAGTATCTTTCTAGATGTGCTTGCAAATCCCGATTGGCAGCCCAAACATTCTGGAGCCCCCGTACTTCCCCCATTCACTGCCCAACATCGAATTCAGGTGGAAACAGCAAATATAAACTACTCCCCTTGATTTTTTGGAGCTGTTTTTCACAGAAGATCTGTATGCATTGATTGTGGATCAAAGCAATTTATATGCATAACAATTTATTGCTGTCAACCCAAATTCAAACCTTGCCAGACCATTTGCATGGAAACCCATTACGGTTTCTGAATTTAAAATTTTTTTGGGCCTAACCCTCAACATGGGTATTACTAAAAAAAAATGAATTGCGGTTGTATTGGTCCACAGACCCGATTCATCATATGCCCGTGTTTTCTGCCCCCATGGCCAGGCATAGATATGAGAGTATAATGTGTTTTATGCATTTTAACGACAACATACTCTGTCGTTCTCAGGGTGGCCCTGAATTTGACCGGCTCCACAAAATTTGGCCCCTCGTAAATCATCTTAACCAAAAATTTGCAGATGTCTATATTCCCAGCAAAAAATCTCCTTTGATGAGTCACTCATTAATTTTTCTGACCGCCTTGCATTCAAACAATTTCTCCCCAGCAAGCGTGCCAGATATGGGGCCAAGATGTAAAAGACCTGTGAGAGGGCAACAGGCTATACATATAAGTTTCGGATTTACGAGGGAAAATATAGTCACATAGAGCCCCACTCCACACACACGCATACCACACACTTTCTTTTTTTTTTTAAATTTAAATTTTTTATTATTACATTTTCAAATTACAAATTTATACAAACAAACCGTTTAAAAAAGATAAACACCAATAACAAGCTCTAATTTGCTTGTCATAATATCTAATTATTAACCTTAGTCTTAATATTTTTCCCCCACCCATTCCCCCCTCCAGCCCCACAAAACCTCCGCTCTGCATCTTTCCTGCTCGCTCTGGGGATCCTGATTTAAGAATATATCTGCATTATTTCTGTATTAATCCCTCATATACTCCATGATTAATCTTGACCTTTTAAATTCCTCTCATTTTTTCCAACATACATGGAAACTCTCCATCTTATCCTCGCTCAAATGGTAAAGTTCTTCTAATCTACATATCTGATCCACCCTGTTTACCCAATCCTTTATTTTTGTTACCTCCTGTTCCTTCCAAAACTTGGGTATCAATCCCTTTGCTGCATTCAGATAGTACAATAAACCATATTTTTTTATATTTCTTAACCGAAAGCTTAGCACCATGAAAAAGGCAAGTCTCTGGGTATTTTAGAATATTAACCTCCATTATTTTCTGAATCAAGCATACTATTTTCCCCCATTACTTTTGAATTTTAGAACACTCCCACCAAATGTGATACATTGTACCTCTACCCCCACATCCACGCCAACATAAAGGTGAATTGTCTCTATTCAATCTGTATGCTACACTCAGTGTAATATACCATTTTGCCAAACATTTATAATTCATCTCTACCTCCTTCATATTTACATTTTCGTGGATTAAACTATATTTTTTCTTTTGCTTTTCCACATCCAATATTACTCCTATATCCCTTTCCCATTTCTCTATAAATGATGGCCTTATATCCATGGTTATTCCAGTGAGAATCTTTTATATTTTAGAAATCCCATGTTTCTCATCTCCCCGTGTGTCTAATAAGTGCTCAAAAGGGTTCCAATTCTCTCTTGTTCTCAGTGGCCTTGGATGCTTCCCTATAAAGTGTTTCAACTGAATATAACGCCACTCATCAATTCTCGTGAATATTTCCGTCTTTTTTTCCAAATCCCTAAGTGAACCTATTTCCTCCCCCACCATTACATCTCTCAACCGTACGTCTTCCTTCTTTATCCACTTCCCAGTGACACTTTCTTTACCTAGTGGAAAATACTCTATAGACCATAAGGGCATTAACAGCAAATTATATTCCCACCCCTTTTGTTTATGTAAAACATCCCATACTCTTAACACGTTAAATGTGAAACAGCTTGTGCTATCTGCTACTCCTCGGAATTGTGCAGGTAACCATACAATTCTACAAAGGTTTGTGTGACTTAGTGTATTTTCTATTTTTACCCAACTTTTTTCCATGTGAATTAAGTGTCCAATCATAAATTCTTGTCAGTATTACCAAATTATAGTACCTTTTCAAGTCTGGAACTCCCAGTCCACCATTCTCTTTATTTCTACTTAAGATTTCATAGCTTATTCTAGGTTTTTTTTTATTCCTCCAAATAAATCTTTTTAACATTTTTTAATAATTCTAAAATATACTTCTGGTAGTTTAATTGGTATCATTTGGAATTTGTATAGAATTTTTGGAACAATTACCATTTTTATCAAATTTATATGACCTATCCATGACAGAGTTCCCCCACCTAGTTTTCTTAATTCATCCTTAATCTCATTTAATAATGGGATATAATTTGATCTATATAAATTCTTGGAAGATACAGTTAATTTTATACCTAAATATTTTAATTCTTTTTCTCTCCATACAAAAGGAAATTCCTCCTGTAGCATATTTTTCTTGCTATTTAAAAAATTTATATTTAAAATCTCTGTTTTAGTTGGATTACTTTTTGAATTTGACATCTCCCCATATTCCTTCAATGATTTAATTAAATTTGGCAATTTTATCTTTGGATTTCCCACGTAGAACAACATATCATCTGCATTAGCTGCCACCTTATGCTCTGTATCTCCTATCCTAATACCTTTTATATCTATGTTATTCCTTATTGTAGCCAGCAGAAATTCCAAAGATAGAACATACAACAGTGGAGACAAAGGACATCCCTGTCTTGTTCAATTTTGCATCCTAAAGTACTCTGATAGTTCCCCATTAACCATGACTGCAACAGAGGGTTGACTATATAATTTCCTTATCCATTCTCTCATTCTGGGTCCCATCCCCAATACTTCCAGTGTATCCAACATATAACCCCAATCTACTCTATCAAATGCCTTTTCAGCATCTATCGAAAGGACCACTGTAGGGATTTTCTCTTTCCTACTTTTTTGTATGAGAAAAAATGATCCTAATCCGTTATCTCTACCCTCTCTTCCTGGAACAAAACCTACCTGGTCCATATGTATCCATTACGGCATCAAGTATTTAAACCTATTTGCCAGAACTTTTGCATATAGTTTGGTATCTATGTTTAACAAGGAAATCGGTCTATAACTTGCACATTGAGTATCATCTTTACCTTCCTTATGTATGAGAACTACGTGGGCTTGTAAAGATTCCCTCCTCATTTCCATCTCCCCTCCCAATGCATTCATATACAGTCAGGTCCATAAATATTGGGACATCGACACAATTCTAACATTTTTGGCTCTATACACCACCACAATGGATTTGAAATGAAACAAACAACATGTGCTTTAACTGCAGACTGTCAGCTTTAATTTGAGGGTATTTACATCCAAATCAGGTGAACGGTGTAGGAATTACAACAGTTTGCTTATGTGCCTCCCACTTGTTAAGGGACCAAAAGTAATGGGACAATTGGCTTCTCAGCTGTTCCATGACCAGGTGTGTTATTCCCTCATTATCCCAATTACAATGAGCAGATAAAAGGTCCAGAGTTCATTTCAAGCGTGCTATTTGCATTTGGAATCTGTTGCTGTCAACTCTCAAGATGAGATCCAAAGAGCTGTCACTATCTGGACAGATGAGACCAAGATCAACTTGTACCAGAGTGATGGGAAGAGAAGAGTATGGAGAAGGAAAGGAACTGCTCATGATCCTAAGCATACCACCTTATCAGTGAAGCATGGTGGTGGTAGTGTCATGGCGTGGGCATGTATGGCTGCCAATGGAACTGGTTCTCTTGTATTTATTGATGATGTGACTGCTGACAAAAGCAGCAGGATGAATTCTGAAGTGTTTCGGGCAATATTATCTGCTCATATTCAGCCAAATGCTTCAGAACTCATTGGACGCCGCTTCACAGTGCAGATGGACAATGACCCAAAGCATACTGCAAAAGCAACCAAAGAGT